TAGGAACTACATCAAATGTGTAGATCACTTTGGGTAGTATAGTCATTTTGACAACATTAATTCTTTCAATCCATGAACATGGAATGGTTTCCCATTTTTGTGCATGTGTCCTCTTTAATTTTTTTTCATCCGTGTGTTGTAGTTTTCATTGTAGAGATCTTTCACCTCCTTGGTTAAATTTATTCCTAGGTATTTTATTTTTTTGGTAGCTATTATGTTCCATCAATATTTAAGTTTATATTATCACCAAAAAAAATAAATTCATTTTTAGGCAGCCGGCCTGTACAGAAAAATAATTAATTTTTAGTGACGAACTTTCTAATTTATAATAGCTTTTACAATAATGTCAGATGTTTCACCTTGCTATGGTTTGAATGCATCTCTTCCAAAATTCAGGTGCTGCCAATGTGACAGTATTAGGAAGTGGGGCATTTAAGAGGTGTTTAGACCATGAGAGCTTCTTCCTTGTGAATGGAATTAAGGTGTTTTTAAAAGAGGATCCACACATAGTTCAGCCAGCTAGCCCTTCTGCCTTCTGCCATGTGTGGACGCAGCAAGAACCCCCTCACCAGACGCCAAATGCCAGTGCCTTGAACTTGGCCTTCACAGCCTTCAGAACTGTGGGAAATAAATTTCTGTTATTTATAAATTACCCAGTCTGTGGTATTCTGTTATAGCAATGCAAATGGACTAAGACATTTAGAAAGAATATTATTTTTACATAATCTTGTGTTCTACCAACATTTAAATACATATTAGCACAAAAATAATTAATTTTTAGTGTTAAACTTTTTAATTGAACTTACAATAGCATTTACAATAACATCAGATATTTCACCTTCAACAAATCACCAAAAAGTTTTACTTTGATTTTATGAACTGGCTGAAAAAAATCCAACCAGTCAACCATTACTAAAATTAATTTATCTGATTTTCCAGTTGAAGCATCTGATGACATTGGTATTAATTTGGTATTATTTAAAAGCTTCTGAAGTTGTTCTGCAAAAAGAGCTTCACTTTTGTACATGTATACACATACATAAGATTTAGAATAGAAGAAAGAAATTAATTTGGAACATCAGTCATTTGATCTACCTAAATAAAACTTTATGCTTTACTGAACATCTTAGTCATTTGGGCTGCCATGAAAAATACCGTGAACTGGGTAGCTTATAAGCAACAGAAATTTATTTCTGACCGTTCTGTAGGCTATGAATACAAGATCAAGGAGTGGGCAGATTCAGTGTCTGGCGAGGGCCTACTTTCTGGTTCATAGATGGCACCTTCGAGTTATGTCCTCACATGGTTTAAGGGGCTAGCTAGCTCCCTCAGGTTTCTTTTATAAGGGCACTAATCCCAATAGCCTCCCAAAGTCATCACTGTCCAATACCATCACCTTAGGGGTTAGAATTTCAATGAATTTTGGGGGGACAAACATTCAGATTATAGCACCTAGTGATATAAAAGACATGTTGGGCAACTACCTTTGTAAAATCATCATCTTTAGGTAACATCCTTTAAAAATAATTACCACTTTTGAAGTAGAGGCTGATGTTTCTTCAGCAGATTTATGTCTTTGGGTTTTATGCATATGAAACAGCCCCACAGTGGGTGGTAAAAGTCAGCAACATCTCATGCAAGTTATACATTCATCATCAACCTTATTGGAAAATGGAAATTCATTACTTAATTTTTCATTGTGTAGGCACTTTAATTATTTTAGCTCATTGCAGACAAAAGCACTTATTTGCCAAATAAAAAGTGCTACCAAACAATAAAATAAATAAGTGGTCATAAATTGATACTACACAATAAATGACAAAACCCTTGTAGCAAGAGCATTCAGACTACCCTCTACGAACTCAATGGTATGATGTTTGGCTTCTATTCCCTGTTCATACTCCACATACTCCTAACCTATAATTTCCCACAGATCCCACTGACTGGTGGCTTGATGACTTGTGCATCTCACAGGCCAGGGCACAACTGGCTGGTCCACCAAGGGGCTGGCAGGAACAGCAGTATGAATTCCCCCCCAGCAGTCCTGGAGACCACAGAGATAGCTCTCCCTAGCCACTTCCATACAAGCACACATCATTTTATCAGCAAGCACCAAAGCAACCAGTCATTGAAAAGGCAGTTAACAATTTAAAATTTGCCAGAAAATGTCCAGGGCAAGAGAGAGGTTATCACTGGTAAATGTTCAGATTTAATCATATATTAAAGAATTCTGTATAAAGACCATGGCAAAGAGTAGAAGTATAAAGTGGAGGTGTATCAAATTCATTCTAGATAACTTTAATACAACTAGTAATAAAAACATTTGATAATAATATTTTTTTTTTTTTTTAAAAGATGACCGGTAAGGGGATCTCAACCCTTGACTTGGTGTTGTCAGCACCACGCTCAGCCAGTGAGCGAACCGGCCATCCCTATGTGGGATCCGAACCCGGGGCCTTGGTGTTATCAGCACCGCACTCTCCCGAGTGAGCCACGGGCCGGCCCTGATAATAATATTTTTTTTTTTTTTTAAAAGATGACCGGTAAGGGGATCTCAACCCTTGACTTGGTGTTGTCAGCACCACGCTCAGCCAGTGAGCGAACCGGCCATCCCTATGTGGGATCCGAACCCGGGGCCTTGGTGTTATCAGCACCGCACTCTCCCGAGTGAGCCACGGGCCGGCCCTGATAATAATATTTTTAAACCAACACAATTGCTAAATGAACAGAACACTGGAACCACAGCTAACCAGGAGTATCAGAAGCAGAGATGTATAGAAACCTTGTTCATTCATACTCCAGCTGTGATGGACAAAGATAAACTTCCAGGGATTCTGCTTCCTGATTGTACCCATTTTGTCAAACAGGTATAACCCACCCCCTCCACCCCACCCCCACCTCCCAATAAACTAGCTACTGGGGCTGGATAAAGAGGCGTCTCCCTTGCTTGGTGAGCTGCGTTCTTCTTCACCTTCATCAGCGTGGTAACTGGGTTGAGGAAGAGCAGAGGCCAACCTGCGCTGGAGAAGACAGGAGAAAGAGGACCTCTGATTCCTGTTGTAACGTGGCTTTTCTTTTAGCTTCCTTCTTGCCTTCCCTAAGGGACTTGAAGGGTACATTGGGGTGTGGTGTGGCAATAAAAATAATAATGAAGTAATTTTTTAAAAAAGTGAGATAATGTTGAAACCATTGGTGATTTTCTTCTTTTCCTAACCTCACAGGTGTGGAAGTGGTGTGCGTAGACAAGCCCACAGGTAGCCCATTGTGCTCTGTCCCTAAAACAAGGAAGGCTTGCTTAGGGTGGTTTAACGTGGGATTTGGGAAATGAGTAATCTTGGTGGAGAAAGACTTCCTGAAGGGGGTGATGCCATAAATTAAGTGTCTTGAGTCCAGCCACTCTTCTAGATCCTTCTGCAAGACTCTTGGGAGGCATATTTGAGGGAGAGAACAAAAACTTAATTTCTCTAACTCTCCAGAGCCTACTTCCTCTTCCCTCCACCGAGAGTACTAAAACTTCCATAGAGAGGCTCAGAGAGGTCCCAGCCACCTGCCCTTCCTTCTCTCCCAGTTCCAACCACTGGGCAGCTTCTGGGAGCATGTGGACAATGGAAGGCGGGGGTTGTTTTTTACATTCAGAGCATTATCATGCAGATTTATAAATCAAAACAGACAACTTGGCATTCAAATACAACACTTCCATTTAATCGTCCTTCTCTCCTATAAGCCCCCCAACTGACCCAACAGGCGGATGGCTTAAGCCCAGCTTCAGCAAGAGCAGCTGGTGTCAAAGACCAGGGCTGCCTGACAAGCCTCCTCACAGGCGTGCCCATCCACACAGCTGTCACAGGAGCACTTGCTGCTGGGGCTAGGGTAAAGAACATTGGACTTCCCGACACAGAATCCACTACTGCCCATACTGCCATCTCCAGGAGCTGCAGTGACAAAGGAGGCCAAGCTGGTGCCCAGGGTAGAGGTAGGCACTCTGCAACCTGAAGAGATAAAGAAAACGGTCCCCGTAAGTTAAGGAGTGGACTCCCTTCCCAGGATGAGTGTCATGGCTGTAAGGTCACTGGGGTTTTTCCATGCATTCTACCTAACCCAGTGGTTGAATGCTCTGAGTCTGAATCGGGGATACCCAAATTCACAGCTCAGCTCTGACATGAGCTATGCGACCAAGAGCAAGTCATTAACTCTTCTCCGAGCCTCAACTTCCTCCTGTAATGATGGGATACTAGTATTATCTGTTAGACTTATTAGGTAAAGCATTTTCCAATGTGTGTAGTATATAACATAGTAAGTGCTACATAATTATTAGTTTTTATTTTTTAGTAGACTAATAACACTGTTGCCAAGAGTTCCTATGAGGATTGTATGAAATCTGAAAGAACCAGCAGGCCTGACATGAGTAAAGGTCCAATGATCAGTGCTAGCTTTTCCCCCACAACTTCCCAGCACCTCTTGCTTCCTGGACTTGCCCCGGTCCTGGGCTGGGATAAAATCATGTTTGAGACCAGTCGTAACTCTACTTTCCACTTCAGGGCAGGTGCAAGCTGGACCTCGTCAGGGTTCTCCTTTTCCCATCCCTTTCCTTATCTCTTAACTTTTTAGTCTCTCCATTGCTTTGTCTTCTCTGCTCCACAAAGTTCATAAAGGCTGGAGCTGAGTAGGCAGGGACAGGGAATAAGGCGTTTCTGTCCCCTTCCCTACTCAGGTTCCAGTACATTCAGCTCGCTTTATTGAAGCTCCCCTGAGCTACTCTATAGAGAATATTGATAGGTCCTCTGTCTCCTGCCAAGGTGTCACTCATGAGCTGCTCCCGAGAAAGCCACCTGGGTCTTTTCTTCTGGTCCTAAATGCCAGTTCCACCTGGACATATGAGGACAGCTGGAAGATCTGGAGAAGGCCTTCCTCAAGGCCACGCTGGGAGGAGCTCTGGACAATCTTTTCTTCTTCCCTAACCGTGTCTAGTTTGTTATCTATGGCTGCTAGGTGGCGCATCACTACTGACTGGGAGTGGAGACACCGAATGCGGATTTGAGGGGCATTCATGAGAAGGTATTTGCCTTGTCCACAGAAGGCACCCATGAAGTCATCCAGGTCAATGGCCCAGAACAAGTCTCCTCCAAAGCTGTTCTTCAGCAGCCACTCGGCCTGTGAGAAAGAACTGAGAAAACAGTCAGGTTTCCTTGTACAAATGCAGGGAGTGACTCCAGCAGCATGGCAGGGAGGAGGATGATCCGGTCACAGGGAGAAAGGAATGGGAGTGGTTTCCTGCAGCGCCTTTGAGGGATTCGTGGACATATTTGTATGCAAGGAAAGATTTTAGGACTAAGTCAAAGAGAATGAGTCTCAAGCCCCAGGCAGCCCCTTCCCTGCCCTCTGTTATCACCAAACACCTTCTGAGAAGGCGCATCTGAACTGAAGCTTTTTAAGTTGTAGCATCATAAGAAATATAGGGCCCTTTGCACAGCAAAGGTTTGGGCAGAGAGTTTCAGGTGGGGAGTTGTAAGACCTTCAGTTGGTAAGCAGTGACCACCTCCTCCCCAGACCTGAGCATGTAACAGCCAGTGGGCAGAAGCCTCACGGCTCAGAGGATCTCTCGCCTCTTGATTTTTGTTCAGTCTGTGTGAATTTGTCATAAACAGGAGATAGGCAAATGAAAGGAAGAAACTACAGTCTACACCATGGTCTTTGGAGTGGGGGAGAATGCCTGCCTCAGGAAGCAAAAGAGAGAGCTGCAGCAGGGACAAGGCAGAGCAGGGGAGGGGCCAAAGAAGAGTCCCCAGGAGCAGGAGGCAGGAGCTGGTGTAGGAGCCCAGGGAAGGAAGGAAGCCCACTGCCACTGAACGAGAGCCAACTGCTGGGCTCTGCAGCTGGGACATTGGCTCACCTTGAAACTTCAGGGTCACCCGGGCCTCGCCTCACCTCGCTTCACCTCCCTTAGGTGGTGACTCATTTCTCATGGAGACAAAGAACTGCCTCCTTTTCTCCCGGTCTCCCAGGAGGGTCTCTGGGAACTGATCGAGGGTTCTGAGCTGAGTCTCAAACCTCAGCCCGGCAATGTTGATGATCACCCGCTGGGAGACAAAGAACTGCCTCCTTTTCTCCCGGTCTCCCAGGAGGGTCTCTGGGAACTGATCGAGGGTTCTGAGCTGAGTCTCAAACCTCAGCCCAGCAATGTTGATGATCACCCGCTGGCTTCCTTCATTCAAGACCACTGGCTCAGGCCCTGCGGGATCCACGTAGTCTCCTGGGAGCTTGGAGAAGGCAGTCTCATGGTTGGTGCTGTCACTGATGAGGATCCTCCAGTTGGAGAAGGGGCTGCTCCCAGGCCGGCCTTTAGGGCAGGTCGAGTCGAAGTCCGTGGTGTAGCCTGGCTCTTCCTGGATTTCATCTGAGTTATCAAAATTGACCAGAGCAACCTCCATTTCTTTCCAGCCACACACATCCATTCTAGGGGAGTCAGAGTGGCATGAAGACCCTCAGTCTTTGGTGCCTGCTGTCAGCTGTGGAGAAGACGAAGTTCATTACATAGGAGCCAGGGTGGGACGCAGCTGGCTCCTGACTACTGGGTAAGGTACACCCATGGGAGGGAACATCGTGGTTGTTTTGGCAACATTCTTCCCTTGAAGTCAGTTTGCACCCCCTGAGTTTGCACACACTAATGACTACTCGAAATTGCAAAGAAGGAGCTGGCTGAGGGGAACACTTTCCCCGGCAAAGGAGGGTCTCCATGCACCATGGCAGAGAGGGGCCACGATAAAAGAGGAAGTTAATGTTTCTTAATAAGAAGAAGTATAATTTTGTGTTTGTATGAAGTCCTTCTGTCTATCCAACACTTTCCCAGGCCTATTCTCATACTTAACTCCTCTTTTTCATCCCTGACAGCCAGTCCCTCATACGTCCTTTCAGTTATATCCTCAAAGAGTGTATCTAGAAGTCTGCCGTTTCTCACCACCTCCACCACGACCTCTTGCAGCAAGTGGTGCAGATGGGTGGCAGTGGATGCGCGGACCCGGCTGGGATTCTGATGGGAAGTGGGGCAGGAGCAGGGAGGCTGGGTGGCCAATCACGGGGCCTCTAAGCTCAGGGTGCCCGAGGCCGCTCATCTGCAAGTAAGTCCTAGGGTGGTTTTGAGGGTACTTTACATGAGATGACCTATGTAAAATGCTCGGTGGAAAGATCATTATATTATAGCTATTCTTGTTTTTGCCAACATCTCCCACATCACAGGAGTTTTAGAAGCCACCAGCCATTGAAACTTTTTTGACCCAAGTCCATGGTGTTTATAGGGAAATTTTACTTATAAAATCATTTTAGGTGGGAAGTAAGTAAATACGTGTGTGTGTGTGTGTGTGTGTTTGTGTGTGTGTGGTGGGGGTGGGGTTAGGAGAGCATGCCCAGTGGGCTTGGACATCCACAGACATAGACTAAAAATATTCCATCCTCGGGTCCACTCTAGCTTCAATTTCAATTTAAGAACGTTGAAGCCGGGCCGGCTGAGGGTGGAGAGAGGTAAGGGACTCAGCCTGAGGCGAAATCTGAGGTGGCCACAGCCTTGGCGTACTTTAGTCACAGATGACAAGGACATCCGGCAGTGTACTGTGTTTCTGTCTTTTCAAAGTGATTCCACTTTCACTTATCTCACTAAGTGACAATAATTGTGTGAGGCTGAAATATGTTATCTCTATTTTACAGATGGAAAAACTGCATCACAGGGGTCAAGTGACCTTCCCAAGAACACACATCTCATGCGACAGAGTCCCAACTTGAACCCTGCCATGGCCTCCTGGCCCAGGGCCTTCCCCACTAAACCACACGGTCCCTGCATGGGAGCCAAGGACTTGAGGGGGCTGCAGGCCAGGGCCACAGAACCATGGGAGCTCAGTGCTTCTTCAGTCCCACACCCTCTTTTCTCAGTTCAGGTGCCATGTGTTGGGTGATGAGCTTAGGTTTGGTCAGCAAGGACTGGCTGAGCCCCTGTTCCACCTCTTAGGAGCATGTGGCCTTTGCAAGCTGCCTAATTTCACTGAGCTGCAGCTTGCTCAGCTATGGAATGGGGAAGGACGTGCCCACTGCTGGGTATGCCTGGTTTCGGGCCTGCCACGTGATGCTCGGTGAGCGGTAGGGTGATGGAAGGCAGGATGGGGCAGTGGTTGAGAACTCTGAGACAAGAGCCCATTGACCTGAACTCAAATCCTGGCTGTGCACATGGTAAGCCCTGGAGAAATGTTAGCTATTCCTTCAGAGTGATTCACATGATGCTTTAGGGGACTAGTCCAGGATTGCTCGGCTGCCAGGCAGATGTGGGCCTCGGACTCCAGCTCTGTGCTCATCTGTGACTTCAGAGCAATGCTTTCTCCTTTGGGGTCCTGACCCTGAGGGGGTGCTCCCTGCTCACCATCTTCCTCTTGGTGTGAATCCCATTCCACTTTCTGAGAGGAAGGGGGACCATCCTGGAACTTTGGGGCAGGTGTTTGGGGACCACTTCCATGTGGCTATGCTGGACCTTATTAGGAGCCTTTTTAAATAAAGGGGCAAAGGCACGTGGGGATTTGGGAGAGCTTGTTTGACCAAATAATTAACTTCTTCTCCTGGAAGCCGAATCATTTTCCCTTTCCCCTCCTCCTAATCTCCTCTTTGTCGCTTCTACCCTGAGCTCAAGTGGCAGATAGGAGGGAGGTTAATGAGGGTCAGGGGGTGTGGGAGGTGGTGGGACAGTGCCAAGTTCAAACAGCATATTCCGTGGTCTACCGAAGTGTGCTGTACAGGGGGCTGCACGTGCCGAATTTGATTAGATTAGGAAATGTTAATCATTGTAGACATAGGGAAAAGAGAACCCGTTTTGGGAACAAGAGACTTGGCTTGAGGCTCTGCCCCACCACGGAGCCTGCCCTGGCCAGTCCGGCTTGGACACCCCCCTCCTCCCCTGCGCTCCCAGCCTGCCTGCAAAGATCACTCACTTTTGCACTAACGTTTTTCAGGGTTCTTGTAGAGACTAAAGAATGAGATGATGTATGTTGTGTATGTCACCATGCCCGGCACATAGGCACTTCCACAGATGGGAGCAATCTTGTCTGGGAAGGCTTTCCTGCCCACCTGGTGCACACAGCAGTGGTCCCAGCTGCCCCTTGCACTCGGTAGCACTTCATGGCATCCAGACTGCAGGCCTTGGGAACTCAGACCTGTGTTTCTCCCAGAATAGATGTTCTGCAGTTGTCTGTGGCTAGTGCCAGGGCTGTGGGTCTGGCTTTTCAAGGTCACAGAGCCATACTGAGCAGGCTCCATCCCACTGGAGTCCATCCCATGGCCTTTCCCCGTAGGTCACTTTTGGTTGCCTAGCAACACCGACACCTTCTACACATCCAGGTGAGGCAGCAGCTGCCCCTGAACCAGAGAGTGGTTGAAGGAAGTCACCACACAGGGACAACTGTGTGTCCTGCACCTCAGGGCCCTGAGGCCCCAGGGACGGGGAGTGCAGGGCTGCATAGCAGGCGAGCTCAGACATTGCAGGGCTGGCAGCAGGTGGGGGGACGAGGGGGTGGGCAGGTGGGCCTAGTGTAGGGTAGGTTCTCACTCCTGATGGTGAATGAATAAGTGGGGCGAGGAAGGCAGACCATGGTGCTGCTTGTGGCTGGACAGAAGAGGGCATTGTTGTCCTGCTGGAAGCAATTCCGGGTCGTTCTGAGCACTTCCATCCTTGATGCCCCCCGCCTTTGCCTCTTAGAGCCAGCCAGGCCTCAGGTCTTGCTGGTTCTCACCGCAGCGTCTCTTAAACCCATCCCTTCCTGGTCTCTGCCCCTTCTTCAGCTGACCCCATCTCTTTGGGCCACGCTGAACCACAAGCCCAGCCTCAGTTAGGAGCTGAAAGAGTGTAGATTCTGTTCCTCTCTACCTTACCAGTGGTGGGGACTATGTTACCTCATTCTCCAAGGGCCTCAGTTTCCCCAGTTGGGGAGTGGTAAGATGGCTCTGTCACCCACCCTCGCCCTCCTGGTCCCCGGTGGAGAGGTACAAGTGTGCAGCTCCCCCAGCCTTTCTGGGCAGAAGACAGGGAGGAAATGGCAGCCTTAGAGACATCAGAGGGGGAGAGCTCGAAGCAAGAGCAGCCTCCTGCCAGGAGGCCTGACTGCAGTGGGGACAGTGCAGGC